TTTATTATTTAGGCATAAAGGAAACGACAAAAAGATTTAAATTGCAAATTTTTAATGAATATATACGAGGAGCTGCAATAGTATCCGTACTGTACGATCGGTTTCATTTGAGATATTATAATTGACTTTCTCAATATTGAAACATATATCTATCTCTCTATATCTCTCTCACGCCCCCCCCTCTCTCTCTCTCTCTCTCTCTCTCTGTGTTGATAAATATGTTATCAAACATAAAATAAGTACTCATATTCTATTTCAAAAACATTTTCTTCAATACATTAGCAATGTAACACACCAATAAAAAATGTCCAGAAATAAAATTATCCGTAAGCCAGAAAATTATTTGGATTAATTATGAAATTCAAAAACAATAAATAATATTTATATCATATTATAACGAGGTAGTTTATCAGGCTGTATTTCCGAGTTGCAATATTTTTTTAAGAACTTAACTTTACCCTAATGAATAAGACAAGACAGTAACAACAATCTGTAGGTGAAAGATTTGCCTGTGAATTCAAAACGAGTTATGTACGCTTACAATTCAGGAAAGAGATTCGGGGCAACAACTAAGTAGTTTTCAATACCCACGTCGACTGTACATTATAAGAAAAGACAACATGAGACAAAATCTATTGCCGTTCTTCCTGAAAGTGGCCGTATGCTTAAACTCGCTATAAGATTGCAAAGAAAAATTGTTCCATATCATGCCTGTCTATGATGGATAGAATATTAATTAGACAACTTGCAGAAGAAAGTTAGTATAGCAAAGAGCCTTAAAATTGTATTGAATGATGGCGTTTCTGATTTGTCAAAAAAGAAAAAAACGTCAGTGTATCATGTGGTACGTTGAACCGGTTCAAAAAGCCTTTTCAGTAATTACCGTCCAAGGAAAATACCTTTGCTTAAAGAGGGTGATCACTGCTAAACTCGACTGGTATTTCGAAAAAGATAACGATTTTTAGAACACAATTTGGTGAAATGCCGAAACTAAAATTTAATTGTTTATTTGAAATCAGGCACAGCGAGTGTTGATGTTAGTGGGGATGCCATGAACCGGATGAACAACATTTCTAGTGTAAAACATGTGGGTGGCAACATTTCGCTTTCCAGGGGTTGTTTTAATGGAAATAGAACGGTCTGTTTATTTCGAATGGTCTAAACAATGAAAATAAAAGTGTACTAATTTAAAAGAAAATCTGAATGATTCTATCAGGTATATTTTCCAAACACACGACTAAATTTTGAAAAACTGTTTGAAAAAAAAAGAAAAATTTAACACCATAACTTGTCCTGCAACAGGTCAAGACTAAATTCACTGGAAAATTCAAAGTGAGTCTTACATTTAGTGTTCATTCAAGACTTAATATTTAGTAGATTTAAAAGTGATTTACTACTGATGTATGAAACAATAAACTGAAATAAATTGTACTAGATTATTTACTAAACATAAAACATTTAAGTCGTTGAACAGAAAGATTATGCTACCGAAACGTACAATAATGTACTATTCAGTGTTTCAATGCAGTGCTTATAAAGATAATTATATTGACTAAAAAAAAGTTTCTGTAATGCTTTATGATTCTTAAAAAGCATATTATAAATTTTATATACATGAAATGTTTCAAAATTTGAAAAATTAATTAATATAAATGCAATCGATTTTATAGTACGGATAATTTTGTAAGTACATACTTATCGATTTGAGAGGATAGATAGATAGATAGATAGATAGATAGATAGATAGATAGATAGATATGAGCAGACATATATATATATATATACACACACATATATATATATATATATATATATATATATATATATATATATATATATGAACAGTCTGAATGTATATATGAACAGACTAAAATAGATAGATAGATAGATAGATAGATATGAACAAACTGAAATAGAAATGATTTCTTTTTACCAAATACCTATTAACTATTAATTGAAATGGAAAAATATTTTCCTTACTTATTTTTTAATGTTGTAATCATAATGCTATTGTATTTACTAATGCGGTTCTGAAATAAATTATGAATATTCAACGATTCCCAAGATCCTATTCAAGTTTTTACATCTACAATAATATTTACTACAATATTTGAAAAGTGAATTATATTATTTCAGATGATTGAACCATATGGATAGTTGTGCACAACATTGTACCCAGCCAACATTGTACACACCCAACATTGTACCCACCAACATTTTAAATCAGTTGTAACCAGGTCTTTGTATACTTATTGTTGTTGTTGTTGTTAATTTATAGTTTCGACCTGAACTGAAGTTGTCATCAAACGCATTGCGACGAAAGGTTTTTTTTTCGGGAAAAATTTTAAAAAAAAGAATTCGTATATTTTAAGGGACATATTTTAAAATGATATTATTTCAGATTGATGCTAATTAATGTAGCAATATACATTACAAATTTTTATATATAAATCAAATATTTATTTATAAATCAAATAATGTTTGCGTTTAATGCTTTCTTATTATAGGACTACCAAAAGTTTTGTGATCATAATCGACAAAGCGTAGTTCTGAATTGAAGTGAATTGAATTTATTATTATTATTATTATTATTATTATTATTATTATTATTATTATATTGAAAGGTTGCAACAGAATATACAGGAAATATTTTTTCGTAAAAACACTGGAAACTTTTACACACATCTAATAAATGTGTATCAATTTACACACACCTAATAAATAGAAACCAATTCACGAACACCTAATAAATATGTATCAGTTTACACACACCTAATAAATACCTATCAATTAACACAAAACTAATAAATATGTATCAATTTACACGCACCTAATAAATAGATACCAATTCACGCACACCTAATAAATATGTATCAATTTACACACACTTAATAAATATGTATCAATTAACACAGAACTAATAAATATGTATCAGTTTACACACACCTAATAAATAGCTATCAATTAACACGGAACTAATAAATATGTATCAATTTACACGCACCTAATAAATATATATGAATTTAGGCAGCAATGGGCAATGAGTCTGTAGCTAGACACACAATTATGATTTAACTTTTAATCTGAAAATTTAACTGAATAATGTTTGATTTATGTAATCACCACTGAATGAAGATGATTGAAAAGAAATGGGATTATGCTCGAAAAATAAATGTTAATAGTGCAAAGAATTGTTCTTTTTTCATCATTATGATTCGAGTTTATAGATTTACCTATATATATCCGCCCCGTCCTCACATATATATGTGGGTGTATGGGTATATATATGTGTGTGTGTGTATGTGTGTGTATGTGTATATATATATATATATATATATATATATATATATATATATATATATATATATATATATATATATATATATATATAAAATATTAAAATTCATAAAAATTGCATAATTTAAGATACATCAAGATAAACAAAATTTCTACTCATAGAATGCTAAAAATTTGACCAGAGCAATAATTATTGAATCAAATATAATAAATAGATATATAATATTAATTGATAAGAATTGAACCTTATATTTGATTCAATCGATAGATAGATAGATAGATAGATAGATAGATAGATAGATAGATAGATAGATAGATAGATGTTTGCGGTCAAGGATGGGACAGGATGACTGATTTGAACTTTATTATATTTGATTCAGTAGATAGATAGATAGATAGATAGATAAGAATAGACTTAGATAGATAGATAGATAGATAGATAGATAGATAGATAGATAGATAGCTTGAGGTTTGCTTTCAAGGATGAGACAGACTGACGTCTTTCTCTGTTGACCCCAGTATCCACATTTATTTTCACACACCATCTATCACCGATATTGAGCACTTTTACCTAAAAACAACATAACTTACAAAGCATATTTAAATATATCATACCTTAAAAACTATATATATATATATGTGTGTGTGTGTGCGCGCGCGCGCTCGTGTGGATGTCGTTAAAATTTCAGATATAAATAAAATATATATGTGAATAAAGACAAAAAGAAAACTTATCTTAGCCGACGTGTTTCATCCTCTGATGTAAATGTAAGCATTTAACACAAACACACCCACATATATATATACGCACACATGCACACACACACACACACACATACATATATATATATATATATATATATATATATATATATATATATATATATATATATATATGTATGTATGTATGTATATATATAAACAATATATTATATAAATGTGATCAATTCACAGATGAGTGTGTTTTTGAGCAGACATACGCTCACGTTTCTTTTTTCGTTCATAAGATGTGGATTACCAATATTCATATAAAGGAACTTTCACCCACTTTTGAATTTCTGCTATTCATCTTATACTTACAGTGGCAGCATATACGGGTATATGCCAACAGATTCACAGTCGTTATCGATATATTTTGATGAAAAATATCATATATATAATTTGGGTGTGAAAAATTACGTTATGGCGCGTTTTTTCTCCTTTTAATTTTCTTATGTGTTTTCCTCAGACTAAATCTCTTTATTCGCGAAAGAAAGAAAAGAAGTGGTCTTATATATCAAAATTCATCTTCCAGTACATTGATTTTAAACAGCTGTGGCTATCAATATTGTTATTACCATTACTACCACCACTACCAAAATTTCACTGTACTAATGCAACTATTATTATTATTATTATTATTATTATTATTATTATTATTGCTGACATCCCTAATTTTTTTTTCTTTTGGAACTATACTGATGATGAAATGACAAGAAAACGGGATATATAAGGAAAGTTTGAAAACACTTTACTGGGAGAAAGTTTTATGTGAGATGAGTGAACAGCTGTACCCGAGGGGAGATGACCCAGGATTCTGGAGGCTTTCTAGGGTAAAGGGATGTGAAGGAAGGTAGGTATAGCGTCGGTTTGTCTGAAAGAGGCATGGGATGTCCAATAGGGGCTACACGGGTGTGATGAGGGAAAATATTATTTTACACATTATGGGGATAATATCCGTGACATATCAGGGACGTTCTAGCATAAGACTAATCTTTCTTTCCTTCCCCATTCATTTTCGTTCTTTTTTCTTCCTATCCGCATTTTTTTTCTTTCTCCTTCTACTTACTTCCTTTTTGTTTTGTTTTTTTTTTCTTCATACATGTCTCCCTTTTTTCTCGTATCAGTTTCCTCTCTTCCTATGAAACTTCTAACCTCCCATCAACTAAGCAGCCGATCCCGTTCTACACTTTACCATCCACATCTTTCTATCTCTTCAAGTCTCTTTTTTTTCTACCAATACACTTATATCTATTCTCTCTTATTTTCAAACCTTTCTGTAACATTATTTATTCTTCTACCAAATACTGTATTCCTCAACAACTCTTTTTTTTTGGTTCCTGTCATCTTTACTCCACCATGAAACTCGTTGATTTTTCCTCATCCCCACTACCACCAATTCTTCTTCTTCTTCTTCTTCTTCTTCTTCTTCTTCTTCTTCTTCTTCTTCTTCTTCTTCTTCTTCTTCTTCTTCATTTAACCTATTCCTTATTATTATTATTAAAGATATATTCTTCTTCTCCCAATTTTCTCATTCTTCAATATCTCTTCTTGTTCAATAATAATACTTTTTCCAGATATTCCTTCTTATCCTTCTTCATGGTATTTTTCTTCAGTATTTCTTCTTCTTCTTCTTCTTCTTCTTCTTCTTCTTCTTCTTCTTCTTCTTCTTCTTCTTAGTTCTTTTTCTTCTTCTCCTCCTCCTCTTCCTCCCCATCTTCTTTTTCAAGATAATTCTTCTTCTTCTCCTTCTTCAAGATATTTTCTTTTTCATTTTCTTCAAGATATGTCTTCTTCTTCTTCTTCTTCTTCTTCTTCTTCTTCTTCTCCTCCTCCTTCTCCCCATCTTCTTCTTCAAGATAATTCTTCTACTCCTCCTTCTCCAAGGTATTTTCTTTTTCATTTTCTTCAAGATATTTCTTCTTCTTCTTCTTCAATATGTATATATTTCTTATTATTATTCAAGATATTTTTATTCTTCAATATTTCTCTTTCTTTGGTTCTTCTTCTTCAATAATTCTTATTTTTCTTCTTCATCTTCTTCAAAATATTTATTCTTCTTTAAGATATGTCTTTTTATTATTCGATAATTATTTTCTTCTTCTTCTTCTTCAACATTTCTTATTCTTCAATAATTCTTCTTCACGAATATCTTAAAGAAGAAATTCTTTAAGATATTCATTCTTCCTCGATAATTCTTTTACTTCAAGATATTTCTTCTTTTTCTTCTTAAAGATATTTCTTCTTCTTCAATAATTCTCTTTATTTTTCAAGATATTTTTTCTTCTTCACAATATTTATTTTTCCTCTTTTTCTTCTTCAAGATATTTCGTCATAATGTCCTCCTTTTCCTCATCTTTCTTTCTTCTAGATCTTCCTTTTCTAAGTCTTCTTCAGTTCAATATATTTTCTCCTTCTTTTTCATAGACATCTTCTTCTTCTTCTTCTTCTTACTCCTCCTCCTCTTCTTTTTCTAGGACTTCCTCTTCTTCCATCCTTCCTAATTTCTTTCTGGTCGTCACACGCTATTTCTCTTATCTTTGTTATCGTTCTTCTTTCCGTATCAGAATTTTTCTATTCCCAGATTTCTTCTTTTCTTTTACTTACCAGTTTCTGGTTCTTCTCTTCCACCCCTGCCCAACCAGCTAAGTTTTTTTTTTTTTAATTTTTTTATTTCTAAATCTTATGTTCTGCTTGGCTAATGCTCTCTATAACACATACAGACGCATGCGCGCACACACACACACGCACGCAAGCGCGCGCGCACACACACAAAAGTCGCACACGATCGCGCGCGCTACTTAACGGTTATATTCACAACAGAAATATATATTTGTATAAGTATTTAGGCGCGTTTAAATATTTATATGCATAACTTTATGCGTATATTTAGACAAAAAACAAACGTGTGTGTGTTTCTTTGTGCGTATATATATATATATATATATATATATATATATATATATACACACACACAAACACTATATTTACATTACAATAATATTTACGTATGCACACGACCACATAATCATATACATCTACATATATATATATATATATATATATATATACAGATTTATTTACATATATATATACGCAAACACTATATTTAAATTACAATAATATTTATGCAATGCACACACACATACACACACACATATAAAACATTTTATAAAACATACATACAACAAACTATTTCTAATTTTCACAGTTAAAATGTAATCCTTGAAAATGACTAAATGTATAGCCGAAAGCGCTCGGATAAAAAGAACATTCGGATAGTTTTTATATAATTTGTCATCCAAAAAGAAAAAAAATTATTAGATTGCATGAGAAATTGTATAAAAGACTAAAAAGAAAAAACCCCTTGTCTGTCGTTTTCAATGAAAAGTGCATGAAAGAAAGATTGCTGCCTAGATACACAAATATATATATGTGTATGTATATATATATATATATATATATATATATATATATATATATATATATATATATATTAGTGTATGTGTATGCATGTACGCGTAATACTTAAAATATATTCAGTATAGTATTTCGAAAAGCAGTATTAATTCATAAACTATTTTCGAAATAAATCCGAATATATCTGCATATAAGCATTTATGTGTCAGTTTATGTGCACACACACACACACACACACACACACACACACACACAAAACACACACACACACACACACATATGTCAGTATATATATTGCTTGTATGTATACCCCATCCTTGAAAAAGACTATAGACTTGACTGAAAGTGCTCAGAACAATAAACATTATGGTAGGTAACTTCACTAATTAGTAGAAAAAAAAAGTATACTATGATGAAAAAATGCCCCAAACTTGACACAAACAAAGCCTTATCGTCGAAATCTTTCTGTTATTAAGAGAAAAAACCAAAGTATTTTTTTAAATTATTTTCTTAAATTTGTTAATCCTTTCTAGCACATTCGAAATTTTAGTGAAAAGTTTTTCTTACGTCAGCAGGGTGGGGACCAAAGATTAGTTAATGATTAATAATGGAAATTTTAGCGTCTTTTTTTTCCCGGTGAAATACACATTGATTTGGAAATTCTTAAAAATAATTGTTGGATTTTAATGAAAGTTTCATGGCTTATTCACAAATGAATGAAATTATTTTAGGTATTTTTTTTATTGAAAATCTTGATAATTACACCAATATTTTTAATTAGTTAACGGAGAACACCTTGGAAAATTTAAATCGTCATTTTTTTGTAAAACAGTAACACCATTTACCGCAAATCTGCTCTGAATCGTAAAATAAAAAAAATACAATAAAACTAAGACATTATTCAATTAGAAAAGCGTTTAATTTCTTTTATGAATAACACATTCTAAGGACATTATTGTCTCCAGAAAAACATTTTTTCGATGAATAATGAAGTTTTACAAGAAATGTTTCCGTTTTTTTATAAATTTTAATTAGAATAATTTATTAAGTTTTAAATCTTTTATTATTAAGTAAAACTATATTTACTAAACAAAAATTGAAAAGGTTAGTACAATTCATCAAGCACCAATATTTTCAAAAGAATTTTTTTTTTTTTTTTGCATATAAACGTGCTGATTTTTATAGATACAGAAGTTCATACTCGACATTATCAGAAAACAAAAGCTATAAACTATAGTAAATTTAAAGCCAAAGTATCTAAAAATTCAATAAAACATTAGATTACGGAGAATATTTTGCTAAATTTTCAAGATTACTGTCTACTTAAAACTATAAAAAAAGTGATCATGTTATTCGTCAATGATGTTTTACATATAAAGCCCCCGTAAACAACATTAGATAAATATCCATCTGTTATTAAACTGTCAAGATGTCAACAGCTTAAATGGTTTAAAAATGCATTTCTGTGATCTTTTAAACTTAAAGTAAATAATATTTGTTTCAAATTAGATTAATTAAACTTTAAGTCAGCTATCAATTAAAGTTTCAGAAAAGTATATTTTATTTTTAGAAATTTGTTGGTAAAGAGAATTACATTGCGATGACAGATGGTTAAAAATGGCGCTAAAAATCAATTTCGAAACGAAAATTCCTTCCAGTCAATTTAAATTAGTTTTGAAATACAGTAATATAATTTTTTTTTTATTGGAAATATTAAATTTATTCTATTGGATTGAAATTAAAACTAAAATAAGATTTTTCATTTTTTAAATTAATTTTAAACCTTAGGTATCACAAATCTGTTGAGGTAAATACATGATTAAAATTTCTTCCACACTCTTATCTTCCAAGAAAGAAAAAAAATATCAGGACACTAAAAAACTGACAAAATATTTCCTGTCTGTTATATTCAACGAAACATGCATAAAGGAAGGGTTGATGCTCATATATACAATAATATATATATATATATATATATATATATATATATATATATATATATATATATTAAGACATTTTTTATGTTTATACGTTCTTTTATAAAATGTCTTAAAATAATTGTCGGACTTTGTCAATTTTTTATATATATATATATATATATATATATATATATATATATATATATATATATATATATATATATATATATATATATATATATATATATATATATATATATATATATATATATATATAAACCTAAAGAGTTAAACCTACACAGGATCTACACGGATCGTCAGGGTAAAACTAGCCAAAGTGGTAAAAATGTAACAGAATAAATATCTTAAACCAAAAACAACCACGTGACAAAAAAGTACAAAAAAAAAAACAAACAAACAAATAAAACCAGTAAAAACTTAACAACGGGGGTTTTAAGGATTACGTTCTTTATTCAACAAAAAAAAAAACCTATTCTAATAACCAGAAGCGTTCCTATGTTTATACCTACTAAGAATTTCCGATTTTAGATAGTACCACTATATATATATATATATATATATATATATATATATATATATATATATATATATATATATATATATATATATATATATATATATATATATATATATATATATATGTGTGTGTGTGTGTGCTTGTGTGTGTGTGTGTGTGTGCGTGTGCGTGCGTGCGTGTGCGTGTATGTGTACACTTGTATTACGTATGTCGATGCGTGGCAGTGACTTTAATCATAGGTATAAATGAAAACTTGTATAAGTGAACATTCATGCATGAAAGTCTACGGTAAGTAATTTATGTACGACAAGCATTTGATATATTTGAATTGCATATGTTATTCTGTGCATGTGGATAATTATTCAACCAAGTCAGGTAAAAGGCCATTTAGAATCATGTTTCTTCCGGCAGAATCCTTTGCACGAATCTCCCATGAGACTGGGAACGGTATGACTGTTACAAAATATCCGTTTGGAATCTCAATAGCAATTGGTAGCGACTAATGCAGACTAGCTACTCAATTCAAAATACAGATTATGTATGTATGTAAGTATAATTGAGTGTTGGCCATGATACATACAACTCTATAGAAAATATAATTTTGTTTTGATTCAGGAAACATAAGTAGTTGTCCATATCCATAAACAAGTTTCTCTGGTTAGAAGGAATGTGGATCAGAATTTGAATAAATCAAAACTAAGATAGCTGACTTAGAATTAAAATTTGCAAATGTGTTCATGTCGGAGCTATAAAGCATAGGAAATTGTGGAGAGGCATGATCACCAATGTCTTGCAGAGAAACGGCACATAGAAAAAGAATGAGCTTGTGTAAATGGTTGGCAGAACAAGGTTTAGGAGAGATAAGAAAAAGACAAAATATATTAAGAGCTACAAAGGACAGGAAATTGTGGAGAGCCATGATCGCTTACGTCCTGAAGGCATACGGTACATAGAAGAAAAAGAATGAGCTTGTGTAAATGGATGATGGAACAAGGTTTAGGAGAGATAAGAAAAAGACAAAATTTATTAAGAGCTACAAAGGACAGGAAATTGTGGAGAGCCATGATCGCTTACGTCCTGAAGGCATACGGTACATAGAAGAAGAAGAATGAGCTTGTGTAAATGGATGATGGAACAAGGTTTAGGAGAGATAAGAAAAAGACAAAATTTATTAAGAACTACAAAAGACAGGAAATTGTGGAGAGCCATGATCGCTTACGTCCTGCAGGCATACGGTACATAGAAGAAAAAGAATGAGCTTGTGTAAATGGATGATGGAACAAGGTTTAGGAGAGATAAGAAAAAGACAAAATTTATTAAGCGCTACAAAGGACAGGAAATTGTGGAGAGCCATGATCGCTTACGTTCTGAAGGTATACGGTACATAGAAGAAAAAGAATGAGCTTATGTAAATGGATGATGGAACAAGGTTTAGGAGAGATAAGAAAAAGACAAAATTTATTAAGAGCTACAAAAGACTGGAAATTGTGGAGAGCCATGATCGCTTATGTCCTGAAGGCATACGGTACATAGAAGAAGAAGAAGAAGAGTGAGCTTGTGTAAATGGATAATGGAACAAGGTTTAGGAGAGATAAGAAAA